GGACAGGTGTACGGATGGGGCCGTAATAGTGAGGGACAGTTAGGTTGTGAGACAACTAATGCCACAATCAGTGAACCATTTCTGTTGACATTTAATAAAAATTATAAAATACAAACAATTTGTTGTGGTTTTTGTTCCTCATTTGCAATCACTTCCAATGGATTGTTATTAAGTTGGGGTCTATTTAATNAGGGACAGTTAGGTTGTGAGACAACTAATGCCACAATCAGTGAACCATTTCTGTTGACATTTAATAAAAATTATAAAATACAAACAATTTGTTGTGGTTTTTGTTCCTCATTTGCAATCACTTCCAATGGATTGTTATTAAGTTGGGGTCTATTTAATAATAATGAAAAATTACAAAATAGACCAGGGCTAGTTAGTAAACCAGAATTAATTCATGAATTAAAAGATATTATAACCATCTCAAGATCGCGTTGGTTTGAAAATGAAAAATGGTCAGAAATAATTTGTGAAAAGTTTTGCTTTTTAACGGCATCTGGTTCAATATATTATTGTGATATAAGCTATAAATCAGATTCTGGGATGTATAGTTATCTTCATGGTACTGAAATTAAGAAATATGAAACAAAACATATATTTCAAGACATCTATAAATTTAATTATTTAAATGCAATAATACTCTCAAATGGAGAAAACATAATAGGATTACTCACATCAAACGAATTGGTTGAAACCAAACACAAAAAGATAAATGATTACTATATATCTGAACACCAATTAACTTACGGTACGATAAATTTAAGGCAGGATTTTGATCGAAAACTATTAACCCAAACATCAATCATGGGTTCGGGGGCTTTTGGTTCTGTATATAAAATACAAAATAACCACGATCAACTATTTTATTTGTTGTGGTTTTTGTTCCTCATTTGCAATCACTTCCAATGGATTGTTATTAAGTTGGGGTCTATTTAATAATAATGAAAAATTACAAAATAGACCAGGGTTAGTTAGTAAACCAGAATTAATTCATGAATTAAAAGATATAACCATTTCAAGATCGGATTGGTTGGAAAATCAAAAATCAAAAATAGTTTGTGAAAAGTTTTGCTTTTTAACGGCATCTGGTTCAATATATTATTGTGATATAAGCTATAAATCAGATGATTCTGGGATATGTATTTATCTTCATGGTACTGAAATTAAGAAATATGAAACAAAACATATATTTCAAGACATCTATAAATATAATTATTTAAATTCAATAATACTCTCAAATGGAGAAAACATAATAAAATTACTCAAAACAAACAAATTGGTTGAAACCAAACACAAAAACATAAATGATTACTATATATCTGAATACCAATTAACTTACGGTACGATAAATTTAAGGCAGGATTTTGATCGGAAACTATTAACCCAAACATCAATCATGGGTTCGGGGGCTTTTGGTTCTGTATATAAAATACAAAATAACCACGATCAACTATTTTATGCAGTCAAAATAATTAAAACTAAAGGTAAAAATTCAATAAAATTTAAATTAAGATTTTCATATGACTACATTCTATTTTAGATTTTAATGCAAAAGATTTATCAAGAATATTTACTGAAATTAAAAACTTGGCAAAAGTGGACTCAAAATATTGTGTCAAATATTACGGCTCTTGGGTTGAAGGGGACTCCTATTACATTCAAATGGAGTTGTGTTCAGAGAGTCTGCAGAATATTCTTCAACATAAACCACAAGTATTTTGTCGACAATCCGAAGAAACCATGAATTCAATCGAGTTTTACATTTCGTGTCATATATTCAAAGAGATCTTAGAATGCGTTCAATATTTACATGAATTGAATCCTCCGGTCATTCATAGAGACCTTCATGTCGACAATCCGAAGAAACCATGAATTCAATCGAGTTTTACATTTCGTGTCATATATTCAAAGAGATCTTAGAATGCGTTCAATATTTACATGAATTGAATCCTCCGGTCATTCATAGAGACCTTCACTCGGGAAATATATTAGTGTCGAAGACTGTAAGAAATGGCAGGTATTTAAAAGTGGCTGACTTTGGTTTGGCTACTGTTCACCAGCACTCGTCAGATAAGGGAGATCTGGATTATTGTGCGCCAGAAGTGGGTCAGAAGGGAGTGGTCTATAATCATAAGATAGATATCTATAGTTTGGCTAAAATTGCAGAAAAAATTTTTGGGATTAAATTGGAGGACAAATCGTAAGATAATATGAATTAATATTTAAATTATTTAATAATTTTTTTATTTATTTGAATATATTCTGTAGTTTACAAAAGTATTCAAACAATGAAGTTATGAACAAATGTGTGATTGAATTAACAGAAGTATTGCATTCAATGTCATACTATAACTGGAATCACCCGCACATACCCGGCCCTCACTGGACAGACAGACCCGAGTGTTCACAAGTCTTAGCCAAATATAATGAGTGGTCTATTGATAGGAATTGTCTCAAAACTGATCCCACATTTGATTCCACACTAAATCTCATTCAACAAAATGATTACAAGTTTTTCGCGGAATTATTTAAAGAAAAATATGAAGGAATTGATTATAAAAGTAGTTTCAATGAATCTTTTGATAAAACATTTGATGAGATATCGGTTATAGGATCGGGTGGTTTTGGGACCGTATTGCGAGTGAAACATAAATCTGATGGACAGTTATTTGCCGTCAAATGCATTAAATTTAATGGTAATATTTTTTATAAATAAATATTAGAAATCTAAACTATATTTTTTCACAGATTTTGATGAAAAAGAAACCGAAAATGTATTAAAAGAAGTATATGAGTGGTCTATTGATAGGAATTGTCTCAAAACTGATCCCACATTTGATTCCACACTAAATCTCATTCAACAAAATGATTACAAGTTTTTCGCGGAATTATTTAAAGAAAAATATGAAGGAATTGAAGCAAATTTAGAGAATATTCACTTAAATTCATTCAAACCATTTAGCATTGAAATTGATTATAAAAGTAGTTTCAATGAATCTTTTGATAAAACATTTGATGAGATGTCGGTTATAGGATCGGGTGGTTTTGGGACCGTATTGCGAGTGAAACATAAATCTGATGGACAGTTATTTGCCGTCAAATGCATTCAATTTAATGGTAATATTTTTTATAAATAAATATTAGAAATCTAAACTATATTTTTCACAGATTTTGATGAAAAAGAAACCGAAAATGTATTAAAAGAAGTAAAGAATTTGGAAAAAGTTAAGTCTGGATATGTGGTCCAATATTACCACTCATGGCGTGAAACCGGATGTCTTTACATACAAATGGAGTTCTGTTCCCATAGTCTGCAGAATATTCTTGAAGTAAAACCACAAGTATTTGAGAGACAAGCCGGAGATCCCATGGATTTATACGAGTATTTCATTTCGTGTGAAATATTCCGTCAGATCTTAGAATGCGTTCAATATTTACATGAATTGAATCCTCCGGTCATTCATAGAGACCTCAAACCAGAAAACATATTAATTGCACACAACGTAAGGAACGGCAGATTTTTGAAGTTATGTGATTTTGGTTTGGCTACAGTTCACGACAAACGCATTCACTACAAGACTACACGTAAACATACGGCAGATATCGGGGACATGAGATACCAGGCGCCGGAAGTTGGTCAGGGTAGAAAATATGGTCATAAATCAGATATTTATAGCCTGGCACTAATTGGTGGTAACATATTTGACGTGGACGTGTTTCTTATTGAACCAAATAGGTTAAGGTAATTTTCAACACTATGTATTACTGTAGTAACAAATTAAATTTTAAAATATTAAGATATTGTTTTATTATGATATAGCTCCTTTATATACTCACCTGATAAAATTCTAAATTCACCAGTGTCAAAATTATACAAACTATTATCAACAATGGTTTTGCTTAATTGGACTCATAGACCGGAATGCAGTGAAATGTTGCAGAATTATAACAAGTGGTCTATCGATAGGAATATTCTTATAAATCGTACGGAATTTGTCGAAACATTAAATAGAGTGAAATCCAGTGAAAGTTTATTTTTCTATAAATTATTGCCAACTGTTACCAGAGATATGAAACCACTGTCAATGACACAAAGGCTGCGAAAAAGTTTAAAACTATTTTAAAAATAATTGTTTATTGAAATCTATATTTTATTGCATACCTAATATTAATGTGGTTTATTATTTTAATTGAGTTACAAATAAAATTTCCAAATTTTATTTTGTCAATGAATTTGGTCAAAAATTGTACAACCTTAATGCAAAATTAATAGTTTTGTTTATTATAAGAATTAAGTTTTAAATATTTTCCAACCTATTAGATATTAAACTGATAACTGTGTTCTTTGTGAAAATATGTTTAATATTGTGTTAATTATTTAATTTATAATTTGTTATTAAATATTAAAATATAAAATATTCTCTACTCTTCTGAATGTTATATATTATACCATATATTCACTTAAATTCATAATTAATAAATGAATCAATTTTGATAATAAAATCATTTTAATATATTAGAATATTCATATTAATTATATAAAACATAAATAAAAAGTTTATACAATGTTTCGAATCTCAGAATATTCTACAAAAGTATTGTGTTATATTTCTAAGCCAATAGAGTTCAGTATAGTATATAAATTGCATGCTTTGGTGAACCGTTTACCTCGGTCACAGTTAACGCTACGTAATGTACGTTTTTAGGTAATTTCCCCGACGTTCCGCATAAATTAATACAAAAAAAACTTAAGTATAAAAGTACAGTATAATAAACACTACATTATATCCATTGAATCATTTGAAATTCACTTTTTCTAGTCGCTATTTATGTCAAGTGTTTTAAAAAAAATGTTGTTTTCTGATATTTCAATTCCAATTGTCTGCAGAATATTCTTGAAGTAAAACCATAAGTATTTGAGAGACAATCGGGAGATCCCATGGATTTATACGAGTATTTCATTTCGTGTGAAATATTCCGTCAAATCTTAAAATGCGTTCAATATTTACATGAATTGAATCCACAGATCATTCACAGAGACCTAAAACCCGACAATATATTGATTGCACACAACGTAAGGAACGGTAGGTTTTTGAAGTTATGTGACTTTCGTTTGGCTACAGTTCACGACAAACGCATTCACTACAGAACTACACGTAAACATACCGCAGATATCGGGGACATGAGATACCAGTCGCCGGAAGTTGGTCAGGGTAGAAAATATGGTCATAAATCAGATATTTATAGCCTGGCACTAATTGGTGGTAATATATTTGACGTGGACGTGTTACTTATTGATTTAGATAGGTAAAACATTTTCTTTAATGTTAATTGTCAAAATAAAAATATGTTTAATAATTTAGTCCACAACCGTATTCAACAATACATACTCTCCTAAACTCGTCGGCACTTGAGTTGCAAACTCTATTGGACTCAATGGTGACCCACAAGTGGCCTAAACGTACGGAATGTAGTGAAGTGTTGCAGAAATATAACGAGTGGTCTATCGATAGGAATATTGTGGCAAACGATACAGAATT